GTCGAGCCCGTGTCGGGGCGACGGCGCCAACCGAGGTAGAGGGCGGGGTGGCCGCCGCGGCACCGAGGTGGGAAACCTGATCGGTCTCAACCTCTAAGGAGGGAGCCGGGGACCCAGGGGTTTGGTCAGACTCGACCTTGGGGGAGGGAGTCGAGAACCCGGGCGGTAGCGAAAGACGCTGGGAGGGTGGAACCACCGAGGACCACCGCGCATCACTCCAAGAAGGGGCGCGGGGGTCGGCGCCGGCAAAGCCGCAGCCGGAGAAACCTAAAAAAAGGAACACCGTCTCGATGAAATATACGTGGCTCGAGGTGTACACACGATGAGTGACAAGATCATAGCACAGGTAACCTTTGGTGTTGGAGGGATAGCCAAGGAAGACGTATGGGACGGAACGTGGTGCGAGTTTGTGTGGCGTAGTAGACACAATGCTAGGATAACAAAGACACCCAAAAATGCGAAGGCCGTCATAGGACGGCGGTGCATCGAAGAGAAGGTGGTGAGGAACGTAGTTCCATCGAGGACGACACGGACGGATGTTAACTAAAAGAGTGGCAGTGGCGAGAGCAAGCCAAAACCGAGCGGTCACGTTAGAGTGAAAGAGTAGTTAAGAGTGCGGAGGATGCGCTCGGCGCGACCGTTCTACTGAGAGGTGTAAGGACAAGTCAGACGAAAGGTGGTGCCGTGAGGGGCGAGAAGTATGCAGAGAGCGACGTTGTCAAACTCTTTTCTGTTATCAGTGTGGAGTGCGAGTATGGGGCGACCGAACTGGGTGGTGACATAGAAATAAAAGGATGTGAGTGTGGCTAAAGCATTGGATTTACAACGAAGAGAAAAAGTCCACACATAATGAGAATAATCATCTAAAATCACCAAGTAGTATAGATAGCCCGTATTACTCGCAACGGGAGACGTCCAAACATCACTATGAAGTAATTGAAATGGAAAAGTGAAAACTGTAGTAGACGCACTAAAGGGAAGACGAACGTGCTTTCCCAAACGACAAGCCTCACAAGTATGCTCGTCGAGCTTATTACATGAGAAAGAAAAACTCCTAAGAATCTGACGCAAAACAGCTGGCCCAAGCGAGCATGCCAAAGGTCGACGCCGGCGGCGAGGGCGACGGGTGTAGAGGTGGAGGTGCCGGCGTGCATGGGATAAAGCTCATCAGGGCTATCACATCGGTGAAGGACCATCCGGGTACGGGCGCCCTTCATAAAAAAAATCAACACCATCAGATTCAACAGTAAGTGGATTCTCACGAGTAAGACGACGAACGGAAACTAAGCTAGTGACTAAGTCAGGTGAGACAAGGACATTAGACATAGTGATAGGTGTGGAACTAGAAGGAAAACTAGTGCTACCGACATGAGTGACAGGTAAAGACGAACCGTTGCCAACGGTGATACGAGTGGGTGTGTTAATTGGAGTGGAAGAGGATAGGTTACCGGGATGAGTTGTCATGTGCGCAGTAGCACCTGAGTCCATGTACCAGTCACCTCCACCGCCATAGTTGCTCGGCGACGGCACCGAGTGTAGGGCGGCCAGGAGGGCAGGGTCCCACGGTGCAGCTACCGACGGCGGCGGCTGGCCTCCATAGGGTGGCGCCTGGGCGGGCGCCCCGTAGCCACCGAGGGGTAGCGACGCAAGCGAAGCACCTTAGGGCTGGTAGCGGGCGCCGATGAACGCCCAGTGGCCCGTGGGGCGGGGACCAAGGAGATCCGGTGCAGGAGCTCATGGGACATGCATGTGATAGGCGTGGACGACGCTCGTCCACGGGTTCTGCCCGGCTGCCCACGGCGGAGGACCTGCTGGTAGCGAGGCACCCCCCTACACCCTGTGCCTGTTGCTGCGGCTGCTGCTGGTGGCGGCCCCTGCCGCCCCGCCGGTTGCGCAGGGCCCCGCCACCTTGCGGCTGCTGGGAAGGCGCGGGGGGCGCGGGCGGTGCGAGTGGCAATGGGAAGTAGCCGGCGGGCGCAGGTGGCGTGGGCGGATGAGGCGCTGCCGGTGGAGCAGGACCGCCGCGGTTGGTGCGGCGGCGAGGGCGGTGTGTTGGACCCGCTGCTTTAGCTTCGTCATCCGGCGCTCCTCAAGTTTGAGGTACGCGATGACACGTTGAAAAATGGGCTGCGGCAGCAGGGTGAGGTTGGACGCCGCGTTGCCGAAGTCCTTGTTAAGACCGGCGGTGAGGGTGCTCAACATGAGGTCATCAAAGACCATGGCGCCGACGTCGCGAAGCTCGTTGGCGAGCATCTTGAGCCTCAGGCAGTACTCATCGATGGTGGAATTGTCCTAATGACAGCCGAAGAACTCTTGCTGCAAGAAAACAAGGCGCTGAAGGTTGTTGTCAGTGAAGAGC